GCAGGTGACATCCAAGTGTGAGGAACTAATGAAATATTAAATGTTCATATAAAAGACTTTTAAACCCTGACCTCTTCATAGTTATACTCTTTGAAAGAATACAGAGTCTTTCAATGAAAAAACAAAAAGGAAAGATTATTAAGGGAATTACGAAACTTTTTTTTTTTTTTTAGTTTCTAAGTATGTGATGGGTCCTTGAAAAGATTAACTTTGGGTAGGTTCAACTTGAATTCCAAATTACCAGGAATGAAATGAAATAAATGGTGACTATGTCACCATAATCATTAATTTAACAGCCATGAAAATCATCTCCAAATGCTTAATTGTTACACAGATTAGAGATATTTTTTGCTGTTGATGGCTTTTTTTAAAAGATTTATTTATTTATTTATACAAGCACTGGGTACAGTCAGAAGCGCGGGAGGGTGAGAGAATTCACTAGAGCCAGAGTGGGGAGCAGAGCAGGCAGAAGGACCGAAGTACACTGCTGAGGGGAGCAGCGGGCGGCAGGAGAGGTCTGCGCGCCATGTGGGACCCTCCTCCGGTGGCTGGGGAGCAGCCGGGGATCGAACCAGTGCTGCAGAGGCTGCGGGCAGCTTTCACAACCCAGCGCTCAACCGCTGTGCCGCTGGGGAGGCCCTGATGGCTTATTTTAATTAATTGTTACCATTTTACAAGAGAGGAAAATAGCAATGGGGTCTGTTCTGTTTTTATTTTTCAATAGTATCTTCATTCAAAAGGTGAATATGACATCTACCCTTAAGTTGCTATGAAATGAAGTATCTATAAGATTAATATCACAGTGCCTGTCACAAAATAGTAGTGTTTTTGAAAAAATGACAAAAAGATTTCTTGTACTCATCTCCTCTAAAATCACTAAGCCCCAAGGAGTTTAAACTGCTATTAAATTTATAACAAACAGAGGGATGTTTCCTTTTTGAAGCAAAATATGGTTTGAAATCACTAATGGTTTAGACATTTCCCATCAGTGTATACATTTTAGTCAAGACTGCTAGCGATTCTCCTACCGGCTCATGGTTACTGTCCCCTAAGGACAGTCTCCATGAATGTCAAGTAGTAGGACCTTTCTCCTGCTCTCCAAGGGGGATGTTTAGCATATTCAGCACTTTTTACCACAAATTTCACTCTGAATTTTTGGTGGATTATAAGATAAGTTTATATTTTATTCCTTACATTATACTTACTCCATGTTTAAGAAATATTATGTTAACATTTAGGTTTTTAAAAGAATAATTGTAGTTATTTTTGAGGTAAAGGAAGAGATATCTCAAAAGTTCATTTCTATTTATTCTTTCTTTTTTTTTTTTATAGAGGCATGTTTTATTTATTTATTTTATTTGTTTGTTTGTTTTGTTTATACATGCACTGGGTACAGTTAGAAGTGCGGGAGGGTGAGAGAATTCACCAGAGCCAGAGTGGGGAGAGAGCAGGCAGAAGGACCGAAGTACACTGCTGAGGGGAGCAGCGGGTGGCAGGAGAGGTCTGCGCACCATGTGGGATCCTCCGCCGGTGGCCGGGGAGCAGCCGGGGATCGAACCGGCGCCGCAGAGGCCGCGGGCAGCTTCGCAACCCAGCGCTCAACCACTGCGCCACCGGGGAGGCCCTCTATTTATTCTTTCTCTCATTATGTGGCTTAGATGTTTAGAAAACTCAGCCACATGATGAGGTCAAAGGGAAGTTTCTTCTAGACAGATCTGGAGGGCCCAGCTACATGCAATGGCACAGTGGATAAGCTGCAATTCCCCAGTCCCTGCTGAGAATGACATTGAAAGAATCACAACTTGTCGACTGGGCCTTAAGAAGGAGCTAGAAACAAAGAACTGGCTGTGAAACAAAGAACTGGCTGTGAAAAACAAAGAACTAGGTTCTGGTCCTTCTGGACAATAGGAAAGGAAATGAATTCATTACCACCTAGAAATATGTAAGAAAACAAAGATCATAAGATAACTTGGATTCTTCACTGAATATTAGGAAATTATTTGCAATTTATACTATCCATGTATGATGTTTAAATTTCACATTGATCATCTATTATAAAAGGAAACAATATCCAAATGACTTCACAGATAAAGAATAAAGAGAGGACCACCTACTTTCCTACAAAACATACAACAAAAAGTCAGAAACAAAGGAATAATCCTCAAATAAAGAAGATTATCCTCAAACAACAGAGGTTCTAAGGAAGAGTACAAAATTTCAAAGTAGAAAAAAAGTGCAAAAATTTGGGAAGATGTTACTAGAACTCAAAGACTCAAACCTCTTTCAAATGGAATTCACAGAACTTTAGATCCTGTCAATTATTCTTAGTTAATAATAAAGAAAATGCAATTTGGTTGTGGTGAGCATGGTTTCTTAAAATAAGCAGACATGCTCAAGTTAAAAGAAAGCACCAGCATTTACATATTATCAGTTTTGTATAGAACTGATATTGTTCAGTTGTTATAAGATACCCAGCTGAAAATTTTTAGGAACAAGATGCTTATTTGGCAGCTCTTTGTAAGTATAAAAAAACAAAAGATAAACTCAGATATTTTCATCAATGAGACTATATTTTTTCTAAATACTCTAAATTAATAATACCTTGTATTATTATTGCCTTACTTCTCATTTCTGAGCTAAGTCAAAGTTGCTATAACAGTAGTTTTTGAAGGGTCATCAGGTATGAGATGTGCAGAATCAAAATCTCTACTTTTCAGATCAGAATTAACGCTGGAAGGAATTGGCTGAAAAGATTCAGTATTTAAATACAATTCAGGTTTGATCTTATCTATCCTTAAAATGGAGACAATAAGAATATTAACCTCATAGGATAACTTTAAATTAAATAATTCACTTAAATGGCTTAGAACAAGACCTGGTATTCACTATATGCCAGATATTCTTGGTGATACTATTACTTTGTCCAGAATCATTTTTATGTATCAATAAATAACAACTCCTAGGGCCTCCCCTGGTGGTGCAGGTGGTTGAGTGCTGAGCTGTGAAGCTGTCCGCAGCCTCTGCAGCGCTGGTTTGATCCCGGTTGGCCCGTGAGGGTCCCACATGGCAGGGCAGACCTCTCCTGTCGCACCTGCTGCTCTTCTCAGCAGTGTATTTCCTCAGTCTGCCTGTTCTGCTCCCCACTCTGTCTCTGGTGAATCCTCTCACCCTCCTGCACATCTGGCCTGTACCCCGGTTCTTGTATAAATAAATAAATAAATAAATAAATAAATAAATAAATAAATAAATAAATAAAAATCTTTAAAAAACCCTCATAATTTCATAACCAAGTATAAAAGTTCTGTCACTTTTGGTGTCATTGATTTTTGTTCAGTGGTTTCAGTTTTACCCCTTTTGTGCTGGAGTGCTGCCCTTTTAGAAACAAGTATCTGACTCTCATGACTGTTACATTGTGTTACATGTCCCTTTAATGCAGAGTAGGAAAAAAATCACTGTAGATAAGTTGTACTTTGGCCCTTCCTTAACTACTGCATGGAGAGAGAAGTGATTGGGTTCTCAGTATTTAGTTTCATTATTGAATATTTCCTTCCTTTATAGTTGAGCACTTTTAACTGCCTCAGCCATAAAAGAAGAAAAGTAGATGGCTTTGTGTGCATTGAAGTTTGCAGCTTAAGAAGGAAACCGGAGAGTGGGAATTGGGAGGCAAATGGTTAAATGCCTGAAGTTAACAACATAACTATGTTTTACCCTCTCTCAGACTGACCCACTCTTTCTTTACATGTTATGGCCCAATGCTGTATGTCAATGTTTTCTTTCCCATAAAGGATACATAGACCTGCATATAATTTGTTTGGTAATATCACTGATCTTAATATTTAAAGAGCTCAGCTAAAATGTAGGATATATGGGCCTTGTAGCATGTGTGGTGGACAACCATTCCTTCCATGCACCCAGGGATGGAGAACCTCCTGCTACTGGTCATTGGCCAAGGGAAGATGATGAAGAAGGTGATATTGGCAAGAATAAATACATGAAAACAATAGGACGGTTTCAGTCTATTTTCAAGATACTTGAAGTTATTTATTTGCAAAGCAAAAGATGAGAAAATCTTCATCTTAAAATTTATTATAAGAGGGCCTCCCTGGTAGCGCAGGCGGTTGAGCGCTGCACTGTGAAGCTGCCAGCAGCCTCTGCAGTGCGGGTTCTATCCTGGCGGGCCAGCAAGAATCCCACATGGCGAAACAGACCTCTCCTGTCTCACCCACTCCTCCCCTCAGCAGTGTATTTCATCAGTCTGCCTTTTCTGTTCCCTGCTCTGTCCCCGGTGAATCCTCTCTCCCTCCCGCGCATTTGGCCTGTACCCTGGTTCTTGTATAAAAATAAATAAATCTTAAAAAAAAAATTACTATAAGAATAATACAAATGATTGCTATTATAAACCATATTATCCTATACTATAGTATTATCCTAAAACATCAGTTTCCCTCTACTCACATGTGCTAAAAAAATCTGGGAGTAGGGCCTCCCTGGTGGCACAGAGGTTAAAGACAATGCTATTAAACTATTGCCAGCCACTGCAGCATGAGTTTGATCCCTGGTAGACCAGGATGGTAACCCACATGGCACAGTAGACCTCTCCAGTCTGCTCCACTGCTCCCCTCAGCAGTGTATTTTGGTGGATTTGCCTGTTCTGCTCCCCACTCTCTCTGGTGAGTCCTCTCACCCCCTCCACCCCTCACATCAGGCCTACATCCCAGTTCTTGTATGCATAAATAAATAAATCTTTAAAAAATAATCTGTGAGTACCACTTTAATTACAGAATCACTGACACAATAGTATTTTTGTAAGAAGATTCTGACAAGGAAAGGCTTATGATTTCACATTAAATGAAGGTGGATCAATTCAAACCACACAATTTATAATAATAAACGCTATAGGTTTCTTTCCTTTAATCAGAATAAACAAGACTGAGTACTTTATGGAGGTGGTGTTTTTGATGCAGATAGAAATCTGAGTCTACATAATACAGAAAGATTACCTGTCCCAGGGATCGCCAGTCCAAACTGGCACTGCCGATGTAAACATGCTGTTTGTCCACAATCCAGAAGGAGGACTGCAGCCGGCCCTTGTTATAGGCAGTCATGTTCATGTAGGTTACCTCCGCCCCTAGGAGTTCAAGCAGATCCCAGTCAGCCTCTGTGTCAAGATCCTGAAATTGCAATCAGTCATCTACCAGCTGCAACATTAATGGTTTTCACTGATCACAACTGGTATTCAGGGAAGGAAAATATTTATATTAACTTGTGCACAGAAGATCCTCCAAGAGTTACTTTGCTCCCAGAAAAGAATGCAAAAGAAAATGACTTTCCCCATATATAAGCAGAGGAGACATATTTAGTGACTTCTATAGCATGAATTCTAAGCTCATCTGTGATCAAACCCGAGCTCCATTATTTACCATATGGATGGTAAAGTAGGTGTATCATGCTCAATTTTTGGGGGGGAATAATTTACATAGAATTTTGTGATCAATAAAAAGATCAGTTACTTTAGTAATATAGTTGTCCTTGACCAAAAAAAAAAAAATGTTCTTTTACATTATTTTTACTCTTTCCCTTTTACTTGCTTTTATTTCTTTACTTTCCCTCTTCTTTATTTAATTTGGATTAGGTCTCTTCCCAGCCTTTCTTTATTTAATAGTTCCTAATTCCAGCCTATTTAATAGTTCCTGTTCCAGCCTTACAGAAATGTAATGCAGAATGATTAACTAGATCACTCAGGCTATTGTTACAACCAAAAATCACATTTTTAAGATCTGAAATTAGCCAATTGGCCTAAGCATTGTACATTATAAAGAACTGTCAATCTTGCTGTCTCAGTTTAATACATTTACAACTTCTCAAAAAATAAAAAAAATGAAACTCATAGAATACAGTTATTTAAAATGTTTTTCTAAATGTACATTTTCTTAAAAGAACAGGCCTATCTGTATATATTTAACAAACAGATCTCTCTTTAAATACACAATGTTAATGAAGAGGATGTATTCTGTTGCTTTAGGTCATTGTCAGAATGTTCATTACAAGAAGACATGATATTATCTGCATAAATATACAAACCAGAATGTCAGAAAGGATGATGAACTTAACCTGTTGGGAAATTTTAAACTAAATGCATCTGGGTTCCTGTGGCAGAAGGATGAGGAGAGGAATGAGTTGGGAAAGGATCTGAGGGGAAACAAACATCCAGGAAGATTTTCTTTGCCAGTGGAGCAAATTCTTTAACCTCCAAACAAGGGCAAATACCCTCAGCCTCCAACCATCTTGAGTAGTAACAACCAAGGAACAGTAACAGACCTCAGAGGAAGGACAGTTGGGAATTATAACATTGTAAGAGGGACAGTGAGAACAACCTCTGAGCCAGTGGGTGGTGCTCATAACCAACAGGATGGTAGAATGTGGAACTTTGTAGACAACACCCCGCTGTCAATTCAATGGTAAAACATGGAGCTTTTCAAATTCCACCCTTAAGTTGAAGGTAAAAGGAGCTGAGGCTCTTGGCAGCTAAAGTGCTAGTGAGGAGTGGTGTCTGGAAAGGTTGGCAAAGCCTCAGTTTGGACCTTGGATTCTGCTCAGCAGACACTCTCTGGGGTAGGAAAGAGAGTATCTGGCCACATGCCTTTTATGAATATCTCCTCACCTTCCTCTTTCTCTTTTTTTCTCACTTCCTGTGTAAATGATTTCTAACATTATTTCATACTTTATTTTGGGGTCATGTTATACAGTCATAGTATATGGGTGAGGACCCACCAACTGTGTCACTCCCCCTTGGCTTGCTCAGTTTCAGAATCAGAATGTCCAAAATGTGTAGTTACCATGGCAATAATAGAGAGACCCAGCTCTTCAGAGGACATACTATCTTCCAGAGACACAGGTGCCTGTGCTTCCTAAGTGGATGAAGAGCTGCATTTACCTTGGAAACTACAATGGTTTACTAGGACTACAATAACAAAGTATAACAACTTGGGTCGCTTAATATGACAGAAACATACTCTCTTTCAGCCTGGTGGACAGAGATTTAAAAGCAATGTGTTAGCACGGCCATGCTCCCTTTGAAACATGCAGGAACAAATCCTTCCTTCCTCTTCCTGGTGGTGGTGAGTCCCAGGAGAGGTTAGGGGTAAGTAGGCAGCTGCAGGAGGGATAGTACGGGTAGGGATTTTGGGAGAGTTAAAGGGCTTCTGAGATAAGGACAGTAAATTCCATGAAGCTATAACCAAAATATACTCCAAAGATGAGGTCCAAAAGTCCAGGAGGACTAAGCAAAGACAGTAAAACTTGAGAAAATAAGACCGTGGACGGGGAGGTAAACGCTAAGATAAGAGCTGAAAAAATAGACACATCTGCCTAGAGAGTATGGCCAATAGGAGAAAGAGCCAATCACAAAATAAAATGGTGAGATTTTTAGAATAGAGGGAAAAAGGTTTAAATATCCCTAGATATGAGCCCACAACAGCTTCCTTGCCCCTTCCAAGTACAACATACTTGGGAGTCCTTACTTTCTTCCTTTAAATAAACTTTATTTTCTTAAATGAAGTGTGTCTCTCTCTGCTTACTTATCTAAAACATCTGCAAATTCCTTTTTATGGAATTTTTACATGAGCAACCAACCCACGGTGGTCTAGTTGCTAGGCCTCAGTGATGCTACTGCAGGCTGGGATCCGTTCCTAGCTGGGAGACTAGGCCTGAAAACCTAAAATCACTGTGTCAGTGGCAGAGATCTTTGGTGGAGCTTGACTGTAGTTGCAGCTACATTGCTCCAGTCTCTTTCTCTGCTGTCACATGTGGCATCTTCTCCCTGCATGTGTCTCTGTTTTTCTCTTCTTATTAGGACACACCAGTCATGTTTGATTAATAGTTCATCCAACTACAGCATGACCTCACCTTAACTAATTAAATTTAAAACAACCTTTTTTTCAAGTTTAGCACATAATCTGATATACTCGAGTTAGGTTCTTCAAGATGTCTTTTGAGGGGACACAGTTCAATGCATAACAAAGATCCATACTACTTTAGCTGACCATGCTGTTAAAAGTACTAGATGGTTCAGCACTGAAGGAAGCATCTTCTCATTCCTGGGAGGAAGAAAGTGAATGTGGATCTTCCCTGGTGGCACAAGGGGTTAAGCACAGCACTGTGAAGCTATTCACAAACTCTGCAGCACGAGTTCTATCCCCCAGCCGGCTAGGGAGCTACTCACATGGCATAGCAGACCTCTCCTGTCTCGCCCACTGCTCCCCTCAGCAGTGTACTTTGGTCAGTCTGCCTGTTCTGTTCCCCACTCTGTTCTGGTGAATCCTCTCACCTCCCACACCTCTGGCCTACACCCCAATTCTTGTAATCATAAACAAATAAATCTTTAAAAACAGAAAGTGAATGTGAGCATAGTGTTTGCCTAGATTTTGCCTTCAACATGTGTTTCCTACTAGACCTTCACCTGCTTTCTTATACTTCTAGAAACAACTTTAACTCACTGTGACATGGACTGGCTCCTACCTCCTAGCCTGGGACATTTTAACCAAATTTGACTCCTGAGCCAGTTGCTTTCTCACTTTGATTTTTCTTAGACTCCCTACCTGTTCTCCCTCAGGTCTTCTGCGGCCGGAGCCTGCCGGCCAACTCAGCATCTGATAGGACTGCAGGAGAACATCTCTTTTTACTCTCCATTCCAAAGTACATATACATTGCTCTAAAATTGTGATGCTAATTTATTTGACAGTTTATCTAAAAGTGTGATTTTAGGGGCCACAAACAGCCTTGTACAACCCTTCAGTCAGAATCTTTTCAGTTATTTATTGATGCTTAAAATTATTTTAAAGCGGAACAGTGACTTTCTTCAACAAAACTTTATTGATGGGTCAGATGGATATAACATATCCTGGATGCTGTGATATGTAAAATTAGACCTAAGGTTGCTAACTCAAATTCAGGCATACTACATGACATAAAATTCTTTAAAAGATCAGGATCCCTGTTTTTCGAAGAGCAAGGGGAAACTAAGTATCTGAAAGATCAGAAAAAGGGAATTTTCATTACTGTAGCAGGGAAACCCTAAATGAATATCAAGTGCATGAAAGACAAGGGATGGCTTCTGTCCAGTTCTTCTCAAGACTTGAGCTACCTGTGCCCAGGCCAGTGGGACTGTGTGTAGAGATCAAGCTGTGTGTAACAGTATTTACAATAGCTAAGCTTTGGAAACAACCCAAATAGCTAAGCTTTGGAAACAACCCAAATGCCCAAAAATAGATGACTTGATCAAGAAGATGTGGTACATATACACCATGGAATATTACTCAGCAATCAAAAATGATAAACACATGCAATTTGCAGCAACATGGATGGCACTGGAAGGGATCATGCTCAACGAAATAAGCCAGAAAGAAAAAGAAAAATACCGGATGGTCTCACTCATAGCAGGAATCTAGAAAACTTAAATAAGGGACCAGGAAAAAGAATAAGAAAGAAAATATCAAAATCAACAAACAACTATGAACCAGAGACACTCTGTGGGGGGTTGAGGGGCAGGGAAAGGAGGGATTGGGGTAAAAATAAGGGGGTTGTAATTGTATAGGGAATATAAAAATAAAATTTAAATTTAAAAATAAATAAATATTCAATTGCATAGGTGTAAGCCTTCTGGCAATGTATTAAGTTATATTAGCTTACACAGAAGAGAATTTCAAGTGCATGATGTTATGTTACTATCAAAGTGTGTACTGGGATATACAAGGATATGATTGAAAGGATATAATCTATTGGAAAGATATATACCTATATACAAATTTAATTATAAGAATTATTGTGCAAATGATAATCAACTACAGGCTTGTTTCTTTTAGTCAGCATCTTATTAAAATAATTTAAGATTTTCATTTGCCTGTGCAAAAAAAAAAAAAATAGTACTGACTTCTGTTTGCTAACTACCCCTGTGCCCTGTGTGCCCAGTGTCAAAACAGCTGTGTTGCAACAATCCTACATGGAACGTGGTATTTTCCCTATTTTAATATAAAACTACCTACTAGACATGATGTAAAAAAGTCAACTGAAAATATTTGCTGAAACATCCATGAAAATATTCCCCATGTAGTTTGTGAAATATTTACTTAT